GGTACCAGTAGTATTACAGATGACATGAACTTCCTAAGCTTAAATGTGTGTAGACTGCATGCAAATACATAATTGGCCTTCAAGAGACAAAACATGGATTGGGACAATAGATATTTTTAAATCTTTTCCTGGAAATACAATGGCCGATGCTGCTGCAAAGGCGGCGCTCAACAAGTCTGTGACACCACTTCTGATGCCATATAGTGATTTGAAACCTGCAATCAGATCTTACATCCGTGATCTAATGCAAAAGGAGTGGGACACCCAAGTAGACAATAAATTACATGACATTAAACCCAATATTGGTTACACCTACTTGGGTTGTCAGTCCAGATTTGATGAGGTCGTTATGCGACGATGTCGTATTGGCCATAGCAGATATACTCATGATTATCTATTGAAAGGTGAGGATCCTCCGTTTTGCATCCCCTGTGATGAAAGAATCACAGTCAAGCATGTCCTGCTTGACTGTATCTATTTTTCCATCACAAGGGATCAATATTTCAGTGTCAAAACAGTTAAGGACCTTTTTCACAATGTTAATTCATATTTAAATCTTAACTTTTTAAAAGATATTGAACTAATTCACAAATTTTGATATGTATTTTATGAATCGGTAGTGTATGATTATAAACAGAGATTGTTCGTGGCTATGCCCTTGACGGGGGTTGAAGTAGTGTAAAATGATTGTCAGACCACCTCTTTCAAAGTATATTTATATCTACCTCTATTTTAACTGCAGAATATGTGTTGATTTTAATCTCTGGCTAAACTTGCAACAATCACCAGTAACTTGGGTAAAGGTGTAAATCCTGCTGGGGAACCATGCAGGTAGCAGAGGTACCGTAAGTCCCCTTGGTCCCTAGTTTGGTGACCTTAACCTTGTTGCTGGTGATCTATAGCCCCATTTTTAAATTGTGTCGTATCCAACTGATCAAATAGTTTTAATGTTCTAAAACTAGTTTTAAGTCAATCTGTGATATATTGCTAGTTATTCTACTGTCCTTCGTCGACAGTTTTTTATTAATCTTGTCCAACTCGTTCAAGTCACATTATGGCTGAAATATTGCCGATGTGACTTTAATTAAACTCACTCACTCACTCACTCTTTTCACATTTTTAAACAAGGTGCTCACGTGGTTTGATGCACTTCGCGATGTAAGACCCATTTTATTACAAGATAGATCTTGATTATCGATCAGATCGTCCTGACTCGGCGATACGTGATACGAGAGGTGGAATCTGATTGGTCCATAGTAGAGGCTTAGAAGGGACATAACTCATAATAACCAATGTTGGCGCTACGATCGAGCCCAGGAATTCCAGCCTGGTTTGGCAAGGGTGGAAAGTGGACTTTTAAAGTCCGTTAACTCTCTTGCCTCGGGAAGATGACCACTGCCAGTCATTGTTATTGATAATATAATCAAGATTACAATTGATTGATAGCTTTATGACAAACGTCAATATGAGAACATGTTTTGGTCTGTTCCTGTCGCTATCATCGAGTATATGTGTATATATTCATATTCTTGTACATGAAGTCCTTAATTTATGGCATTGTCATTTATTGCTGCCAAGTCATATGACAAAGGGCGCAACTCCTTGACGACTGCATATGTTGTTGGGAGTATGTTTGCTCTGACTGCTCTCTGCCATGTCATTGTTCTCGTGGTGCTGACAATGAAGCGTCTCTCCAAGAAAGGTTAGCTTGGCACATTTTGAAAATAACAAACCCTAAAACAGTATCATTTATAGGAAATGACGCTCAATGATTTATTCCCACACAAGTGTGTTATATGTAGTAACTGTTTCGTATCAGATGTGTTTGAGAAACAGCTTAAATCGTTATCTCATTTTGTTTTTTAAAAGAATTGTAAGAAACTTTATTGATGTATTTGTATATGTACATCTTAAAATAGTATGTATGTCTAACGTTTTGAAATGTACAGTAAACTATGGTTATAACGAACTGAAAGTGACCACTAAGTAAAGCATATTTACGGCATATATACAGTAAATGCCGGGACCAATTGCAGTTTGTTATAAAAGATCATACCATAATAGTGATAATACCCAGACCCCTGAGATAAGAAATCTGTCTTTTTTTCTGGAAGAAATCTTGAGCATGTTATACTTTCTTTCTCTCTTCAAATTCAGGAAGACGACACAAACGCGCCCAGACATCCTGTGATAAGGTGTGACTACATATTCGCACTCATATCCAGTGCATGTATTGGGGGCACGGGTGGCCCAGTCATTAAAGGTGCAGTGATTCGCTGTGCAGAGTTGCGTCGCTTGGGCACGCCAGAAACCTACGATTGCATCACTTCGGGCTTTCTTCCCACATTAAGCTGACACACCGTGATATAACTGGAATACTATTAAAAGCGGCGCTAAACCCAACTCACTCACTCAGAAAATGTTTTTACAAAGTTGTGGAAATCTTAAAGATGTCCTTAGTGCAAGAGTTGAAACAGATGACAGAAGCGTTGCTGTCATGCACTGTCCTGAAGTAAAACGTCCACTCATCATATAGTTTAATGGAAACGAGAAGATTTTATGGCCCCTTCACAAAATACATCACTCGTTTCGAATGTTTCTTCTAATTTGGCCTTGAATGTGCATATTAACGTATGGCTTAGAGATGGGAGGTGTGTGTCACTACACCTTTATTGGAACATAAGAAGAACAACATCTACAGTACTGAAGTACATGTACTTGTTACTGCATGCCTACGAAGCACTGTCAATTCGCCTAGATGGGAAAGAATAACCCAGGCCATATTGCAAGTTATTGCCTGTTTGTTTAATTGTTGTTTAACGCCGCACTCAAAATTCCAGCTATGTGACAGAAGTCTGTAAATAACCAAGTATGGATCAGACAATCCAGTGATTGATACCATGAGCATCGATACATGCCTTTGAAAACTGCTCTTTAAAGGAAATGACTTTTTAGTACTCCGATCAGATATGCAGAAATCGGATGAAACTACTTAAAATCACTGTAATGAAGTTAGGTGAAATTGGGTTTAACGTCGCGTCCAAGATTATATCACTTATATAACGATGTGTATGGTGCGTGCGTGCGTGCGTGCGTGCGTGCGTGCGTGCGTGCGTGCGTGCGTGCGTGTTGCTGCTTGTACTTGTCCGGGTCGATGCCGATTTATCAAACCCCGGACCTTTAGGTCTCTGTGTGTACGGTCCACCACAAGACTATGGAGGCAGTCAAATCACTGGAATGAGAGCAATGATTGCTTTCTGAACAAACGTTATTCCTTTGGAAAGTATCCTATTTTTATGGTTCCAAGATCTGGGTTTTTGAAAACTGCTCTTCAATGTAAAAGACCCACCTTGATCTTATTAGAAATTGTAACCTATCAAAAGGAATAATCCACTCTATTACCGTATGCAGAAATCGGATGACACCACTTTAAATCACTGTAATGAGGGCAATGGCTGCTCTCAGAACAGAAATTACTCATTGGGAAATATCCTGTTTTGTGTATAATTATACTACCAGGTGCATTACAACAATTAAAGGTATTTCTTTAAAAACAGGATACAATGGTTGTTGGGTCAATAAATCTCCATGAAGACGCCCTGAACATTAGTTCAAACAACACTGGCACTCTTATATGGAGGCATCCTCAAATTCTAGATTCTATGAAGTTATCAAAAGTGAAATTGAAACAGAATTCTACCTTGATAGAAATTTACCCCCCAAATACCACAAAAAAATGTGGAAAAGGTCGCTGGTAAAAAACCCCCATTAAATAGAGGACATGTCCGTTTTGTAGATGCACTCTTTTCTAATGAGTATCATCATGTCTTAATTTGTGAAACGTGTATTACTTATCCCTATAAATATATCCATCCTTTTTAGAAATTCGCTGATGTTTAGCCCCAATATACAATACATAACAGATCAATGGGGTTGTTATGTACACAATACACATTATACATAATACAATACAATAGGTATAATACGTTTGGTTTCAGCCCTTTTCGACTTTTTAAAAAAATGGGTAAACAGTAGCTATTAGACAGCCCAGTATAGTCAGGGATGAGTGGCTTTGCTAGTTTGACAAAGTAGGCATGTGGATCAATCCATTTTACTGTGAACAGGGATGCACGAAATTAAATTAAAAGAAAAAGACATAATGTTGTCAACAAATGTCCGACACAGATACGTCATTGTTCACAACAAGCATAAAATCCAACTGTACTGTTGGAAATGTTATAACAATGCTTTTTGCGTGTTTAATCATGATCAAATGTTTTACATACAGTTGCTATTTAAATATCAACCTACTTGTAGCTATCATCTGCTATTGATCTCTGAGTCGTTAAACTATGTTATTTCACTTACATGTACATTTCTTGATTGAAAACAAACCTTGAATTAATCGTATTCCATTACTAAAAATTTGAATAAATACACTGCTAAATTTATCTCCCTCTCAAGTTGTCCCTACCAAAGCCGCTATGCCCATTGAAAGTGAGTGAGTGATTGAGTTAATGCTTTACGTCACATCGGCAATATTTCAGCCATATCGTGACGAGAAGTAAGCCCATTGAAAGTCTCTCCGAATGAGATCATACGAGTCAGCGACTGCACGGACTGCACTGGGACATGGAGAAACCACTCATGCATGGTTAAACAACCCAGGCATAGTGAAGCCTTTAAAATTAGACGACCCGGGTTGTAATCGTTCATTTCGAGTTTGTCGGATGTACTGCCAATCACCAAAAGAGTTTATGAGGTGTGCTCGGAGGGAGTGTTCGCTATTACATTGCCTACACCTTCAATATGAAGGGGGTATCCTTGCAACAACAAACTCCATCACATACTGGTTAGTGGCTTCATGAATGTGAGCGAATAATGGTCAGTGTACACAAACACTTGATCAGACGCTGATTGCACGTATACCTCAGTGTTGAAGGGTATTGTTTGATAGGCATTACATAGAAGTTGGCGGATGACAAAGTAGACACAATGTATAGATAACAACTTCTTTATTTTACTTATGAGCGAGGTTGGTGTTATGTGTCCAGACCACAAAGTGTATGGTTGACCTTAGGGATTTGATGGCGAAAGTTATTGTAGACCAATAAAAACGTTCTTTTTTCGCAAATACAATACCAGTGTGTAAGGAATGGAAAGCAAGTGAGAGAATCCTTAAGGACCTGTGCTCATTACCACCCCTCAGTGCAAGAGGCATATCTAAACTTATACTTGAAGTGTACTACTCCTTTTAATTGTGGAATCAACTTCTTATAAATGTACAATTAAAACTAACACGGTGCAGATAAGGATGTTCATAGTAGGCGGATGGGATGAAATAGCCTTTATCTCTGTTGACTGATTGCTCAAGGCGGCGAATGTGGACTGCTTCTGTTAGTTTTAATTTCGTGAAGTCATGGAGATATTGAGGAATTGAATTCGGAATAAAATCATGCGAGAGAGACAGAGAGAGAGAGAGAGAGAGAGAGCACAATATATACTACACATATACTTGAAGTGTACTCCTTTTAATTGTGCAATGTACAATTAAAACTAACACTGCAGACAAGGATGTTCAAGCATTGTTGTACATGGTGGAATAGAGCTAAAGTTTATGGTTGGGCTGAAACAATCTTATTAAAATCAGGCCTTAGTGATCGCTACTGCAACACAAAAATCTGACGACATCCCATCACAGGTTACAGGTCGAGTCAAAACAATGGTACCATCACAAACACATGCAAAGCCAAACCAAGTGTTCATCTGAAAAGAGCATCAGAGTCAAAATGGGAAATTGCATCGGACATAACTGTTGTCACTGATGCGTCAAATGTCCTCCACTTGTCTACTATAAAAACTTTTTTGAAAGCTTTACTGGGGGCTTGAATTTTGAAAACCTTGAACAAACAATGTGGATCTAAATATGAAACGGACGATGCTGTCTCTCTGTTCTCAAGGGGTATTCCATACGACAGTTAGGTGCTGAACGATCACGACAGATTTGAAATGCCAAATAGCCTCTCATCTCTCGAAACACCTGCATAAGCATTTAAAATGGAAAAGACTATCCACAGCCCGATGATGGGATAAGGGACGTTTCAGAGGCAGTACAAACTACTGCAAAAAGTGTCGCCATCTCTTATGACATTCCAGAGGTATCGTTTGTTGTGATTTTCATAAAGATTAATCAACAAGAACATATTATCGGCAATACATAGAACATGCGGATTCTTCCATTCTCTCGAAAAAGGAGGAAAGAAAGCACAGCAAATACCAGATATTCACTTTTTAAATCAACTAATACCGTCAAAAAGATAATCAAGCAAGTGTGCATGGTTTACAATACGGTTTCATTGTGTCACAAATATAAGATCCCTAAATATTTTTTTTTTTTTGAATACGTTATACAATATACGTTTTTGAAACCGCAATGTCATCTAAAAGCGACATGAGTAGTACAGAAGCCGAGTGACCACCAAATGTGTCACCCATGGTTTGGAAAGAAACGTCTGATACTCCGCTGACTGCGCACAATGATACAATGTTCACATTGCTTTGTATGTCCAGAAACTGTTTAGCTTTGCTGTGGGATGTTTTCGTTTTGCAGGCTTTGTTACCGAGAGTCAGTTGATCATGACAACAACGTTACATGGTGATGTACAGTGCTGTGACGATTGCGTCTCCCTCGAACAAGATGTTTTCCGGAATCGCATTCGGGTTTCGGTCTGTGAAGTTATGTATGCTTGATCCATCTATAGCTAGCTGCAAGGAATCAAATGGAACATCCTCGATTATCCAGTGTATTTTATTTACTTTCTTTACCATGGACACATTCCCTACCACAGCCTCTTTTGGAGACGCTAACTATCTAAGCACATTTCTATCATTATCGAAAGACATTCTTTGCAAAGTTATTGATAGGAGACATGGATATGGTGAAATCACTTAAGAAAAAATTATTCAAGTGTATTGACAATAGTAGAATGGAGATATAATACAATACGTAATCGAGGATGAAGGTTGAACAGAATGAAAAAAAGTTGCATCTTGATTTTACAATGCAAAGTCTCATTCTTTTGTTTGAGGTGACTAAATAAATATCCACTGAAAGTTAAAGTTAAAATTCTGAAGTAATATATTTTCGAAAATGGTAGCATTTTTATTTGGCTTTCTTATATTAGGACGGAAAATGAAAATAAATAAATTAGAATCATGATGTGTATACTTACGTCCAATGACTTTGCCAATTCAAATTTGTCCGCATTATTATTCTTGCTTTGGCAACCCTATCCCCCTGCTGTTAGGTCTCTCCAAAGTGGTAAACTTTTTGGACTTGCCCTGATATGACTTAAATACACCTCCCAAAAGGCCTAATACTACTTCACACACTCCTATGTCTATAGGATACCAAAGACAACAAACCTCCTGCTCAACAGGGCAATGGTTTCTTTACATTGTATGGGACCGTTACAATTTAGTGTGTGATTTTTGTTAATGCAGACTATCACGGTCGGGAACACCTACAAGTCTGCTGGACATTTTGGATGGTATACAGTGGGTAATTGCCTTCACTGCTTCAAAAACGTATATTGTCTTATTAACTGTTGATCAGACCCAGACGCAGTAATGACTACCTGTTTGTGATCGTGTCAAAGCTCACGTAGAGGATTTTGAAGAAACAACAACATACCATGTACATGCCTTGATCCAGTCGTATCTCCACCAGAGACTCGGTACCAATTGCCAATGGGACCGGCGTTAGCCTAATCTCTATTCCCCACACACCGGAGAAGTGTGAGTTGAATACTAACTTGTTCTGATCCAGTCGGAAGGAAATATGGTACAGACGATTCTCTCCTCCGAAAAAATCCATATTCAGACTAAAAAAAGAGAACATATTGTTAGTATATACTTGGAAAAATGTTTACAGCTCGAATACAAAACAGGCACCAATTTTGGAAAACACGATGGTGGTCCTACCAGTTTTTTCTTTGCGATGTAGAATCTTCATTCGAAGTTTGATTAACAAAGGTGTATGGAATTGGAGCAAAGTGATTACATACTTGACGAGATTGGTATAAAAGCTGTTTGTTAGTATTTGTAGCCAATCAAATATGTTTAATTTTGAACAGTTACATGCTTTATAACGGGTTGATCTGTAGCCTCCAGAATTGACATATGGAAAAAATGCCCATGTTCAATGGTGGACAGATGATGTGATAAGGTAACAGATGCTGGTGGCCATAATGTTTTGTCTCAAACTTATTATTTGTGATAATTAATGTAACGTAAAACTGTTGTCTGACACAAACTTCCGATTGTTGAAGGGAGTTCATTATTTATTTCAAATCGATCACTACATAAGCATTGTATTTCTTATAATATAAGTCAAGATGTACAGGCTGCAGTCATGCTGCACTAAGTGTTCCCATTGTCCACCGTAAAGGTGGCCTAGTTTTGATTCAAGCAGTAAAAAGTATTAATTCTATGTTAAAATATGTTTGACGGATTTTTTTAAAGAAAGCAAATGTCATGCTAGTAAAGTTTTAGCAATATTCCAGAAATATTACGGCGGGTAACAACAGGAATGGGCTTCACACATTGTATGCGTGTTGGGAATTGAATCCGGGTATTCGGTGAGACGAGCAAACGCTACCCGATCGGCTGACAAATGTCATGTATTGCTACAACTTTCTTAACTCTGTAACCTGAAACAATGTGGACATGACATTAGAGTTTAATTAAAATGCTCGTGACTGCGATAATCGAATCACTGAAACGGAGATGGTGAGTGAGTTAATATTTAACGTCACATCAGAAATAAATGGGGGATAATTCCAAACAATTAGGGGAGACAACTTTAAAAAAGTCATACTTCTGTCACAAGATTGCACATTTGTATGAACGTGCAGTTCACACTACCCAATAATAAACATTAAACAAATATCACTGGAAACATTTTCAAATCAGTATTGTCATACCGCCCCAGTCATTTTGACAGAGGTGACAGATAGGCATTCATATATAACAAGGTTATAATTGGCAAGATTTTAATATGGAAAGGCATGCTACTTTAGAGGTATTGAATGACACGAGATACAAATGTCAATGAAGCATTTTTCAGAGCCATGGAAGAAGAGTGTGTATCCCAGTGGGATTCTGGGTTACTTTATGTTCGCAGCAAGGCATGTACCATATATGCAGCCAGTTGTCGCTTCTCTTGGGTTCGTGTAATGGTTATAGCTTCTCAAGGCCGAAAGGGCGGGTTCATTTGGCAGAAGACTAGATCTACCAACCAATGAAATACCAAGACAATTTACGAGAGACAGATAATCCGTCATTCCTCGTCAAGAGAAGTTTATTGTTTTTAATACCCATCGTGACGTTATGAAGATATGAAGCTGAAAAGACAAGAAACAGTTTATGCTTATAACAGAGGCGAAGTCACTTTTCATAATATTCATACGCGTGAGAATTCGTCGAATTTTTGGTTGCAGACAACGAACATGAATGATGACACATAACGTTCACATCTTCTTATAATAAGGGTCTTCAGCAACCCATGCTTGCCGTAAAAGGTGAATAAGCTTGTCCTTAAAGGCGACTAACGGGATTGGGTGGTCAGGCTCGCTGACTCGGCTGATGCATGTCATTGATCCAAATTGATTTATACCAAAAGGTTGGGGAGTGGCAGACATTGAAGTCACGGTTTCAGAAATCACGCGTAATCTTTTACATGGGACTTGCCGCTCATCCATGTCAGTTTTCACCACAAAAACGTTGAAACTGTTCAATGGCTGTATTATGTTCACTACTCTTCCAACCAATTTTCCGCAAATCTTCACAAGATTATTCACTTTTATCGCGGACAACAATGTCGCCATTGTTGTTTACATGCATGTTACAGCAGACGATTTATTCAATCAAATTTAATCTACAAATCTTAATTAGATTTTCATTTTCATTAACGATATTTCATTTGAATGAATAAAAATATTGTTCTTAGAATGCTTTACGTTGTAAATGTTTCATATGGCAGAGATGTTTTTTGTGGTAAAAGATGAATTAACATGATGCATGGAAAAATGTAGTTTCAGCAATGCGTACTTAACTCATGAAATTACAGGAATTATAAAACAGCCAATCGACATTAAGCGACTGTTGTAACCTCCCTAGAGAGGTTGCAGAAAAAATAATACCAGGCATCTTCCTTCCCATATGGGAATAAATATGGGTTATCTCTTGTCATTCTTGACTTACATGTGATAGAGTAGCACTTATAAGCATAAACGCACATGGGGGTTATATGTACAGCGTTGCTTTAAATACCAGCCATATGCACTGTATTGAGAGGTTGTCTTTTAACGTAGGAGCAGATTATGTTGTCCCTAGGCCTTGAGTGCAGCAGATGTATGTCCTACTGTTAGCAGAGAAGCTGTAATGTGGGTGAAATTCAGGCGACCTATGTTACATCATAAAGCTTGAAGGTGGCTGACTGCAATGTTAAACAACAAAATACAATTAAAGTAATAAGCGTATGTGTTTGCTATTAAACGCCGCAGTCTGTCATATTCAAGCAGTATGACTGCAGCCTGTAAATAATCGAGTCCGGATCAGATCATCCAGGGATTGATTTCGTGAGCAACGACTCACACCGTCGTAGGCGAAAGTGACACGCTGCCAATCAAGTCACCGTGCCTGACCACTCGAACCGTTGGTCGCAAGCATATGTTGCTTGGGAACAACTCTAACCTGGAATAGTCCACAGGGCCAAATACATACTCAATACATGTAACAACATTCTCTGAGCGCTCACACTTATTCTTTGGTCAATCAAAATTGTGAATGCGAATATCTATCCTTTACCGATTAACGGTCGTTGGAGTGATGTTCATTGAGACTTTGAAGCTCCTTGAATTCCCACAAGGCACGACCATGAGGGAGTTCATCACCTATGTAAACATAAAAAGTATTAAATATTTTTCACAAATTCGATAATTTCTGTATCCTTTTGTGAACATTTTACGTACGACTCGCAAACATCCACGTTATAAAGAAAGTTTCATGAGAAGTCGTAAATAAACAAACATAATTCAGACAACAAAACATGTTTGAACACAACATACGGGAACTCGAGTCTTTTATGTTTGATTTACGCGTTTGATTTCGTAACTTCTTTCGGGATATTTGGAAATCATTCTTGCTTATTTATGGCATCAAACTATCCACTTTAACTTGCGGATTATAAAAAAAATACTTGTATGGCAAGACGTATTAGTTGTACAATAACTGTCTCTGTCTCAGCAGCATCCGAATAATTTCATGGTCTTATATGCTGTTTATGGAACAGTTGTGCACACATGTGTATTGCCAAAGCAACTGAATGCCGCTTCTGATATGTGTTTTGATGTATGAAAGTCTTTGTTGTTGCTGACACCTGCCTTTGTGCGATGGATGTCGAATCGAATACCCGTTACACAATAATTCCCACATACTATTCCTTCCCTCTCTTACACAGTTACAGTTATATTTCACACAAGTGCAGATGGTACATGATGTTGCCCTGCCTAGCTCGAGGCATTATGGAGCTAAACCAAGGACTGATCGGCTCGGAGTCAGTATACTGTGTCTAAGTGGGGTATTCATGTTAAACTGCGCCATTGTATCTCAGAGTGCTAACACACACACACACACACACACACACACACACACACACACACACACACACACACGTGCATAAACGTCGCTGTAAAAGTGAAATAATCTTGGACGTGACGTTACACTATACTCATCGTTCATTGTACCACATAACAATCTTACCGGGTTGTCCCAACTGTACTGTGCGCACGGGCCGACATAACCGTTCCAATTTCCTGTCAACTGACAGACTCTGCTGTTTCTATCCGTGCACATTTTGAAGTTGTCCTTGCAAGTGTACACTGCAACTGCTCCTTCGTACACTCCGTCATAATGCATCTCAGCATTGGCAACAGCAGGTGGTGCCGCACAGCCTTGAAACTCTGTGACATTAAATAACAACGAAGGCGATATAGATTTTACTTAACAAATCAGTCATTATCAGGATCTTGGATCTCAAGCCCACTATTAACATCCGATAAATGTAATTAAAGAGTAATTAAAGGTCCCCGCTTTTACGTCCTTCAATAGGACGCGACCCAGGGTCGAACCACCGACCTCTGCGGCCAGACACACTTTCTCATTATGCTTCCTCACTCCAGTCCAAGCCAAATGATTCCAATGAGTGATAACGTGAAATAGTGTTGATGTTCTGTTACATCAATAGCTTACCTGCCTCACATGATGCCCGACCCAGTCGATCTAGATAACATCTGGACATTGGACAAGGTTTCTCCGAGCAGGCGCCAGCGAGTGACTATGTAAAACAATACATGCATATGGCGTTACTGTGCTTCCAAAACACAAAACGACTCAGCTGGACTTTCAGCCAGCCGAGTCGGGGAATGTAACATGTAACCAGTAATTCTAGCAGCTGTTGATACAGAATAAACGTGACTGTTAACTTTCAAGGGTTTCACAAGGCGGCTTGGGTTATATACACCCCAGGGAGCTGAGAATGAAAAGCGAGTACCCATAGGTCCAATCTCCCAATGTCAGTCAACAGATTGGGAGGTACCCAACCTAAGGCAAACAGAATAATGAAGATTTGGACAACTGGGTACTTGGGATGCAGGCGTGACATTTCGAAAGTGAGGTGTGCATATCATTTTGCCTTGTTTTTCCTGAATCTTGACAATAACATTTGTATCAAAAGGGACAGGGAATTTAATAATATATATGATTTCGTTGGATTAATGAAAAAGGTATCCAAGTATGTTGGCCTGGATAAGACTTAAGCTATATACGGGCCTATTCCAAAGAATTTTGAATTTATCAATTTCCATGACGCCCTCTACATATTCCGGGTCGTTACATGAATGGACCTCTGTGTCAAAACCACAAGCATGGCGACGAAGGTAATAAAATAATCCAGCCAGGCCATCATTAAGATACCGTGTTTGTGCTAAAAGAAATCACGCATTGACGGTTTCGAGTGGGTACTCCCATTATTCGTCTGCGCCCTGTTTGTTTTGACTGAAGGAGAGCGCCATTTTGGTTTCTCTAAAACATTTGGAGTTATTAAAATGAAATGAGACTGACTTTATCTGGACATGCTTTCACCAATCGCCTGTCACATTCTGTGACTCACAATGTAGATAATACGTGCAGTTTGTTCATTTTGTTTTTAAGAGAGCTAAACATATTTAGGGGAAATATAACTGCAAACACGAAAACGTCGTTTTTTTCCGTATATGGTCATTGGACGGAAAAACGACTAAAAATTCATTAAAATTGATTAATTGGTCAGCGTCTAGAAAGTGTCCAGAAAAGGGTCGACTTTTTCAAGCGTAAAATGGACGGAAAAACGATGCTTTTTGCTCCGCCTTGTACAACTGTTAACGGCCAATCAGATGGCGCTGGTCCCCCGACGCACGTGATGTCCAAGGCTTCCTTTCGGAAGCTTTAGGTTTCGTATTTCTGGCATGCCTTGCTCTAGTATCTGTCGCGCGCAGTGCAGCGAGATTTGCTGATAAGCTAGTTTTAGGATATGTTACATGTTAATGGAATTCAGACACGCGCCAAGAAGTCAAACCAAACAATGTTACTAAGTTTATTGTGGTAACGGCTATATACAGTTACCCCTATCGGATAATGGGTTGTGTTTCATTTGGTTATAACAATAACTAATTTTTTAATGTGAAGTTTACAAGATATACGACTTGGACGCGAGGTCGGTCACATGACGTTCTTCACGTGACTGTATTCTTGAAAAGGCGTAAACACTGACTACTTCCACATTCCTGAGGAAAACCCTTGGAATTCCCTGGTACGAATTCATACAGAAGCGTGGTTGCAAGCCCATTTAAGGATACCCTCGCTACAACCCATCCCAGAGAGAAAAAAACACGAAAAAAAATCCAAACTGTCGCAGTGACAATTTACAGAAATCTATGAATTTACCTTAGTATCTATTTGACACATCTTCACAATCACCTTTCAATGATCGGCCAATTGATCAGTGATGCCAAAGGCTTGAAATAGCCACAGGTTAATTAACAACTTCGAAAATATCTCCCGTCATGTTTATCGTGTCGGCCATTTTGACGTATTGTACTTGATGTAAATGTATTACGATGCTCTGTCATTGTAATTGACTTACTGAGGTAATTCTGTAAAAGATCTTCTCATCTAATGAGGATATTGTTTGGAATATATTTCTTGTAAACATACTAAAACATATATTCCTCGCTTTCGGGGGAACTATTTTATTCCGGGGTGGCCCATTAAATCTAGTAGTAAGTCAAGGCACCATGCGTGATCTGTTATTTTATGTGTTTAAATTACGATTTGGGGCGTTAATAAAATACACTGACGCAAGTATATTCTATTCTAATGATGCCCGTCCTCAGTTTAACCGAGCATGTAAATTATTTTGTCCGTCAAAAACATGGACGAGTATAAACAATATGTTCATTCACGTAATACATGTCATACATTTGACAAAATGTATTGACTCGGAGCATTATTGTTAATCACAGCGTATGCAGTTGAACTCATCACCCATCCCATTATTGATAACCCTTCTTGAAGATCTATGACATCAGAAGCTGCAACACTTCTTTTAACTGGCATGTCAGACTTCTGTTTCATTACTCAGTTGTATTTGCACGATTACTATGGAAGGGACATTGTCTCGTTGTCGCATTGTCGCATTGACGCCTTTACAAAAACAAGCAAAACGTGTCAAAATTAACAAAAGCGCGACAATTGGCCATTTATCGCATTGTCGCGTGTTTGCATTGTCGATCTTTGATAATCCTTTTCTTTATTTTACAAAAGGGCGACGATGCCGTAACGCGACATTTTCAAGGTCAAAATATGTCTCGTTGTCGCATTGTCACCCCATCACAAATGTGTATAAAAGGCGTAAAGTTCAGTTATTGTTACAGTTAGGAAGTTCAACCTGATAAATGTACGTCTTGAAATGAAAACACAAGTCCGTCCGCGAGTCCAAAACGTTTTATTGTGAGCTCTTCTCTAAAAGTGCTTAGTGTTCAACTCCCAGTTCCAAACACGTAGTACCTCCTCAATAATCCACATACCTCCAGTGCAGTGGTCTTCCGGAAGATCTTACTCTTGACCGTATTAGACAACTGAGGAGTGCACGCCTGACCTGTGACCTCGTTGCAACCCTCGTGATGTGTTTGCCGAAGGGAGAGGTGTAGGAAATGTGTGCTCCAGCCCAGCGCAGAGCTCGCGACACACTGTATACTGATGTATACAGTATATTGCAGTTGATATACTGTATACTGCATGTGATACTTATTTGCGGAAATGTTACAACTTTCAAGATTCAAAATTCAATTTGCATATATTTCATATACAACAGACCGCCGTCATATATCACTGGAATACTGCTGACAGCGGCGTGAAAACAAATTGTTTTCATAATGGAGCGCTGCAGTCATTTAAAATAGAACCGTATACATATGTACATGTAGTACCAACTCACTCTATTTGTTTCGAATATTCAGCAGAAAATATATTATTAACCAGGTCTTTGGGAAAAGATATCAGATTTTTATAAGCAGCCACATAGGGATGATAAAGGACCCCTCGCTGATTAGGTTCTTGTTTACTTAAGAGCAGAGTTGGCCATGCTAGATGATATAACCAAAATCCGGGAGCTCCAGCGGGGGGCAAGCTGGTCTTGTTAGTGTATGGTATGAGCTGTGACGTTGACCCAAGAGAATAATGTAAAAACATGAGACCAACTCAAGTCTATAATGATTGGGAAAGTCTAGATTTCCACAGCTCTAGCCTGAAATTAAGAATTGTTCTATGCTCCATTTTAATTGTATTATTTTCATTTTGTAGACATGGATGGACCAACCAGGAAAGAAATTGATGGAATATTAATATCACATGTTACCACTGATCCAGTTAAATTCATCACACAATAATAAATTAGTATTTGACATTACGGCATTTGATTATTAGGGCATGGTCATGTACATGTTCACTGTAGTAATGTACACACCAGTCAACTTGATTATAATTTTTATCAAAGTGTAGCGCGGCATCAACGATTACTTTATGTTATCCTCACTTGTCATCGATGTATTGACATCGAACAATGGACGGCAATTCGAAATTCTTATGGATAGCTTCAATAGGGACAGTGCCGGTGTCAGTACAATTTTCCTAGTTAAAATAAGTATCTACAAAATATAATCTGAAGCAGACAAGAACAATATTTTTTATTAATGCTTACTTTCATGGATAGAATTAAGGCAATCTAGGCTTGCCAAATCGTTCTAGACTTGAGCTGGATTCCTTTTAAATGTATTTTGTATGGTCTGGGAGACGAACGGGCGTCAGTATCGCATGGAGAACTGGGACAGCCTTAATCAGTGTAATCGGATATGTTGTGGAGTTTCGGTTTCGGGCTGTTTGCTCAATATATAGAATTGCGAGTTATGTATACTCTGTATTCTTTCGTCATGGTAGCATATATATTTTCTATGTTGCTTTTTGAATTATTCACAAATAATGAGAACTACAATGTAAACCTCTCTCTGGAGATATGCAATAATACTACTGAAGTGCATATCTGAAAAATGGGACTTCTCGACAAATATTTCTTTCTTAAATACTACCCGTTACAGGCATTCTGATCATTATATCATACTTTGTACAGTTTAAAAGTCAAATAATGGCAAATTGTGTATCTTTCTACATTTTGAATTAATTATATTTTCTGAAATAAAACCTTAGCACCAGATAGTGATATACACGAATATGATCTATACTATTATAAATGAATTATCAATTTCGTATTATGAATTAGATAAACAGAAATATGATAGTAAAACAAATTATTTTAATCTATTCTTGTGAGTAGGTAACGAGAGATCTAGGCAACGCACTGACGTAGCCATTTATAAAAAAATGAAATATTAAAAGTTTAGGGGTTTGAACATGCACATTGAATGACAGGGAAGAAAGCAACGCAATAATTAAATTATGAATCAAATTATGTTATAAATATAACAGAATATTTAGAAAATATAAGTTTAATTTCTCATTGTTGGAAGGTGTTTAATAATTATATAGATTTTGTTTGATTATTTGGTGTTTAACGCCGCACTCAGCAATATACCAGCTATATGACGGTGGTTCGTAAATAATCCAGTCTGGACCAAACAATTTAGTCATTATCATCAAGAGCACCGATCTACGCATTTGGGATACGATGACATGCATCAACCAAGTCAGCGAGCCAAGTCGCCTCCGTACAAGCATGGGTTGTTG